CGCCAGGGTGGTCAGATCCCTCGTTTCGGCTAAGGCTGAGGTGCTCGCTTTTCTGTGGGAGTGGCACGATGCTAGGCAAGATGCTAATCAAGCTGGGGTAGAATCCTGGCCCAGCAGCCAAGAGGTTGAAGAGACAGTGATGGGTGGGCCCGCGAATGGATGAAAAAGTCACTGACAGTGACATGAGTTGCTGATGTGATCTGTGCAGTGACAGTGTAATTAGTAGTGATCTGCTTCGCTTCTGAACCCTGTCACCTTTACTCTAGTTTGTTTGCCAGTGCTTGAAAGATTATCGCCTTGCTGACAGGTGCTTGCCGCTTGATTTTCTGCCTTCATCTTCGGAAGATGCTTGAGTCCCAGAGTGTTTGCTGTGGGTGGAAGCGATTTCAATTTCCGTGCCATGAGACATAACCCATCACCAGAGGAAGCAGTGTTGAAGATGCCATTCCATGACGTCTCGAAACTGCCACCCAAGCTTTTAAAGGCCTGTTGGCTTGTGCCTCTTCGGCCTATCGTGTCGGCGACTCGGCTTCAGTCATTGAGCTGTGTTATTCAGACTGCAGGGTGGTGAAGTGTGTCAGTTCCAGGTGCTGTTACTACTGTTTAAGAAGTATCATACACTAGGTCACGCGATCTTCTGCTTCACGGTTCTGTGTTGGTAGGACTTGTTTACGACGTTTACGAGTTCCTCAATTTTCTGATGCAGCCTAATTGATGTCTCCCATGTGTGGCCAAAAGGTTGACAGAATTTGCTTAACCAAAGAGTTTAGGTGTTCGGGTCTGAGGCTTTGGGTCGATGATCCCCCTGTCCCTGGCGACAAAATTGTCCAGAACCCTACGGCCAAAACTAAACCCCGGCCCCAAAGCCCACAACTCACACTACATCTCTAAGCCTTGTCACGACAGTGTTTGCAGTTTTCAGGACTCAAGTCAGGCCCGAAGCGCCGTCTGCTCCCAAAACGTTAAGCCCAAGCCCAAAAGTCTAAATCCCCGAAGTCTGCTTCCACGAATGCGGCAGCATTAAGCTCGTGCTGCCGGGGATCGGTCATGGGGAGTTTTGAGCACTAGAGCTTTGGGTTGAAGGTTGAGGGTTTAGTAGGCAAGGCCCACGACAATCTTCCCCCCACCTAAACTCGAATGAAATGTAAAAGACAAACTTCCAAGCATGTGGATTTAAAGAAACGAATGGAGAGTATGTTGGATTGTTTGATTTTTCTGCCAGCTGCAAAGCTGCATATGTCCTTTATTGAGAGTCTTGAAGAACTATGACCATGATTGCTATTGTGTAGCTGTCTTACTCTGTTATTCTTCAGACGGATCTCCGAAAGCTTGTAGCGCCCGCGAATTCAAACATAAACTCATAAGCCCCAATCCTTGACTTTAAACCTGGGCCCTAAACTGTAGCTCTCTGCCCAGGCCATGTCAGGATGACGATGCATGGAACTGCAAGCGAAAAATGCTGCTGCAACTTCTTTGTGCGGGCAGCTTCGTGTGGTGAGTGACCGATCGCTTGTTGCAAATCTCGGAGTCAACAGGCCATACGCAGAACAGGTGAGGCCAAAGCCGACGTCCCATATCGAAAAACCGCAACTGCCCTGACAAGACCTCAATCAGACGCCCTGAACCTTGCATCCCAAACCCTCAAGAACATCACTGCGTTTTCCATCATCTAGCTGCTAGATGTTTCCTGTCTTTGTGAATAAAATCTTCAGAACCTCTGGGCCGCACTCAGTACTCTGAGCCCTAGCGCTTTGGATCGATTTCGTGTCGGCCAATATAGGTCCATTATTACTCTAGTAGAGCACTACGCGAGTTGAGGAAACCACGTACCCTGGAGGAAGTAGGCGAATGATAGCCGGGATATCCGAATCGCGAGGCCAACAGTCAGGCTGCAGCCCCGACTGCAGAGACAGCCCATGAAGACGGGGCCAACAGCACCCCGAGCCATGGTATTCCGAGCTGACGTGGGCCGCCTGGAACACTGCAAGGGAGAGCCGCTTTGCGGTTCCCGAGTTGATCCCCAGCTTCCTCCAAGGCTGGTTTCTTCTTCAGGACTCAGGACTCAACATCCAGGAGCGCAACATGGTGCAAACCGCCTTGCGTGGTGACTCGACCTGCAGCGGGTGGCTGCTGAGCTGCGGGCTCAGTGGCCCGAGTCCGAGATCATAAAGAGAGACCGCAACAGTCGGGGATCAAGCTACATGGGCGAGGCCATGGACGCCGAGGAAGAGGTCGAGGCTTACGAGGCGGACTACGACCCAGAGGACCTCAAAGAGGAAGGCATGAGCGAAGCAGACCTGGTGATGATGGACGAGAATGAGAGCCTGGCTCAGGACGCAATGGCAGCCATCCAACAAGGCAAGCGGACCTTGAAGGAAGCTCGAGCGAGACAATCCGAGGTGCGACTGTCCCGCCGCTACTACAAGACCAATCATGGAAGCTTTCCTTCAGGGGGAGCAAGGCCCAATCCTGGAGCCCGAGAGCCATCTACCGCAGGCCGCAGCGATGCAGACATGACGTGTCTGCGATGCGGCCGCAAAGGCCATCGGGTGGCCAGTTGCCCCGACAACAAGCCGCCGCCGCGTGAGGAGGCCAAGCATGCCGAGGAGTCGGCACCCTTTGTCTGCTATGTCAACGACAATCAGTCGGCCCTGGGTGTGGGTCCAGCACCAGTGGTAGACGGTGGAACCCGAGCCATCGCCAGCGTGACGGCCATTGAGGCTTTGCTGCGGCAGAATAGCCGTTCACGGGGCAACGATGGCATCATCGACGTGGACCGCGACAACCAGCCTACCTTCTCGTTCGGCAACAGCAGCACTAACACGTGTATCAGTACAGCAGCGGTGCGCCTGAGGGCCCAGTTGGTCTAATTCTTCTTTGCGTAGAGAGTCTCCGCAGCTTAGGCGCGGTGATTGATTTTGAACATGATCTTGCAATCTTCCGACACCTCGATGCGACGAGGGCTATTCCCCTGGAGCGGTCTGCGACGGGTCATCAGCTTTTGTCCCTGAGTGATGATTTGTACTCCCACTCCTTGATGTTGAAGACTCCTTTCGGAAGCTTGCAAGATCTTCTTGAAGTCGAGAAGCTCCTTCTGCCGCGCACAGAGCCTGCCCAGCAGCAGAAGGGTGAAGAAAGTTTTGCAGGCATCGGGTTACCATCAGATGTACACAGTTCTTGTGTGCAGTCTGATCAGAGTAGGCATGTGTCATTTTCACTTCCTGATCGTACAGTGTCAACAACTCCCAGCCGCCATCCTTGCAATCCCAAGCAGCCGCCCCGCCAACATACTCCCGAAGTTCGTGATCCTTTGCATCATGCCCAGCCTCAGCAGCATGAACAAGGCCGACCTGGTTGCCGAGATCCGCAAACTCGGTGGCTCAGTGGCCAAGCAGATGTGAAACTCGGAAGTTGGAGCTGCAGCAGCATCTGATCACGATGAGGGAGGAGCAAGGTGGCGCGACCAATGTGACGAGCCCAGCCCCCAAGCAGCAGAGCGACTACCAGCGCCTCACAGCCGAGCTGACGAAGGCGAGCTCTCGCAAGGCCAACATAGTGAAGTGCATGAAGGAGACGCTGGGCCTGAATGTGCGCCAAAACTCCACGGTTGTGAAGCTGACCCACCACTGGCGAGCCGTTCCGAACCGCTCCGTTCCGAACCGTTCCAAGCCTTTCGAATCGTTCCGAACCTTTCCGAACCGTTCCGAACTGTTCTGGATTGGAAAGGAATTTCGCGAACCAATGAGAGACTTTTTGTAATAGCATCGGAATAGTGTCGTAAAGCCTTTTATTAGGAATTTGCTCAGGTATTGTTCAAATATGTTCCGGAACGGTTCGGAGCGATTCGGACGGTTCGGAATGGTTCGGAACGGTTCGGAATGGTTCGGAATGGTTCGGAACGCTTCGGAACGGTTCGGTTCGGAACTGTTCGGGAAGGTTCGGTTCCGGGATGGTTCGGAACGGTTCGCTTCGGAACGGTTGGCTTTGGAACGGTTCGGAACGGACAAAAACGAGTTTTAATTGTATGGTCTTCATTTCGAACTTGCAGTTTCAATAGGTCGACTCACGACCGCCCCGTTGGCAGGTCTAGCGCCCCCAACAGCAGAGTTCAAGTAAATTGAGGGTCTTGATTTGGATCCCTACCCCTAAACCCTAGATGGGCCTTATATACCCTAAAAGAGTTGTTGGTCGGGCTTGAGGTTTGTGGGTGTGTCATTGGTCGCGAGGGCGTATAGGGCTGGGCAGAATAGCCTATAAAGTTTGAGGGCTAAGCCCGAAACCCGAAACCGGAAGGCCCAAAGCCCCAAACCAGGAGGGTTTCAGGCTTCAGGGTGCCCGACAATCTCAGGTTGAGCAGGAAGGTCAGAATTGATGTTTAATTTCTGTGTTGAGGTTTTGGGGTGTTGGGGTTGAGGATGCAATGTTAGGTACAGCTTTCCCGCCCTTTTTCCTTCCTTCATCCCGGTTCTACTCTGCCCGAGGGTTTGTTGCTTCGTGTTTAGGGTTTATGGTTCGAGGTGTGGGTTTATAGCCTATAGGGTTAGAGGTTTCGGACTGAGCGGTGTCCGTTTTTCGACATTGAACATTGTCAGTGGATCGCGAAGTTCGGGCCCATGCCCCTAAACACCATGCCGCACCCCCCATTTTCTTGAATTTCCTTGCGGTGCAGGCGGATACCAGCGATCGCACCCCACCAGCGGGCACCCAGAGTGCGCGGTCACCACGGATCCGGGGCGACGCCCGTTAAGATTTCAGGGTTTAGGATTCAGTAAGGTGCTAGGGTTGTCTTGCGTGCACCATGCATGGCATCATGCAGCAGATCTTTGCTGCGTGTCGTGGTGTATGATTTGCCAGTAACCCAGACCCGAAACCGCTGACCCTCAACCATAAACTAGACCCGAAATCTTGTACCCCAAACCCGTAGTCCTGAACCCTGAATCCTAAACCCTACAAATCCTAAACCCAAAACCGTATAAACTCGAAGCCCGAATCCTTGCAAGGAAGGCTTTGTGGAAGGCTCCAGCAGTGAGGACGCACCTCTGAGCGTCGGGACGTGTGCTGGGGGTCGACCCGTACCAGCGGGCACCCAGAGTGCTTTCAGGGTTTAGGATTCAGTAAGGTGCTAGGGTTGTCTTGCGTGCACCATGCATGGCATCATGCAGCAGATCTTTGCTGCGTGTCGTGGTGTATGATTTGCCAGTAACCCAGACCCGAACCCGCTGACCCTCAACCAAGACAGCTACAGCGACCCGAGGCAAGCGACCCTCAACCATAAACTAAACCCGAAGTCTTGTACCCCAAACGCGTAGTCCTAAACCCTGAACCCTGAACCCTAAACCCGACAAATCCTAAACCCAAAACCGTATAAACTCGAAGCCCGCATCCTTGCAAGGAAGGCTTTGTGGAAGGCTCCAGCAGTGAGGAGGCACCTCTGAGTGTGGGGACGTGTGCTGGGGGTCGACCCTTAGGCCTTAGTCCCAAACCCTACAACCCAAAACCCTGAGCCTTCAAATAAGAGACATGTATCAAACCTCAGCCCTCACTCGCTCGAGGATGCCACGTCCATCTTCAAGGAAGTGGGGCATTCGCAGCAGGCGGAGGCGGCTCAGGGGTCCTTTCATGCAGCTGCAGTGCATACGGTCGGGTTTCCCAAGAAGCATAAAACTGGGTTTATCCCGAGGTTTGATGAGGTTTAGGGTTTAGGGTTTCTAGTTTGGGGGTTAGGGGTTTGGAGCTTAGGGCACGTTAGAGGAACGCGAATCACTGTGGGTTGGCCGAAGGGTCTGGGGGTTTTACGTGCCCGGATCCTTTGCGAAGGCGTGAACGGGCAGCAATGGGCACTTCTATGGTGTGTCGATACCTTCAAGAGCTTTGACATAGATGCACAACCTTAGCCTCGAAACCCACTCACTTTAAACCTGGCAGTGAAGCGAGGCCGCCCCAGCGCCCGCACCGCGGCGGGTGGGCTTTCTTTACACGACCAGAGCTCAGTGCCGCTACCAGTCGGACCACGGATTGCATTCCCGGAGGCAGACAAGCAGTATGGGTGTGCAAGACAACATGAATCGAATCGAAGGCAGTCAAGAAGGCAACGGAATGCAACGGAGACAAATCAGAGACGAGCAAGCATGAGAAGTTGAAAAGGGGAGCGAGAGAGGCAACCCTGCAGAGCAAACGCTCCGGACTAGTCTTGTCAGAAATTCGATCACCAAGCAGCTGTCGAGTCTGCCTGTATCGTGCTTTGAAGAGTCATGGGGAAGAACTTGACCGGCGTTATCCGGCGTTAAAGAGTGGCACATTGAGCCTTCCAGCTGTGAAACGAAGAAGCAGCCGGTCTGTTTCAGTTGCAAAGGATATGCTCTGTCAATACTAGTTAAGACGGTGACGAAGAGCTGGAACACCTTCCCAAATTGTCTTGCCTCAGTCGCAGACGGGCAGCTTGTGCCAATTTTCGGCATGAGTTCAGAAGTCGTCACACAGGACTCTTTCAATTCCTCAGCTGGCCGTACAATGGTTTTCGACTCCAATCACGTACCGCTTTCCTTAAATCTGAAGAAACCTTGCAGTGCAAGGTCGTCGACTCCCGCTGTTGCCCCATTGGGCGCCGAAGAGCACGCCCCTGGACTCAAGGGCATTGTCCAGATGAGCGTTTACAGTTGAAGATCTGAAGGCATGAGGCCAGATGATTATCTGAGTTGTGCCGTGTTACCACATGCTTCAAAGACAGTTTTTGTTGCTGTTGCTGGGGCGGCTGAGTCCGTGAAAGCCGAATGCTGCTCAGACCCGTCATGCCTGACCCTTTGTTATTTTGATTGAGACTTTGTCCTGTCTTGTTTCCCGTGAAAGATGGTTCATGAAGATGTTTTGGTCAGTGTTTATAAGCAATGCCACGGTCTGGATAGAACCCAGATAGCTTCAGTGTGAAGTTCCGCAAAACTTCTACACCCAAGTTAACTCTTTCCAGGCTTCGGAAACGACGGCTGCCGCTGGGGCCTCACGAGTTCTGGTAAGGCTGGTAAGGTTTAGCAGTTGCAGGGGCGGATGTCGAGATTCGGGGATGTTCGTGCTTGGAGGTCTGGGCATGTAGGGAGGTCGGAAGGTTCAGGGTGACTGCACAGCCTAACTCAAGAAACAGTGAGACTTTTCGAACCGAAGTTGTCAGTCGAACCCTAGGCTCTGAACGAAGATCTGATTCCATAAGGCCACCCCGAAACCTGAGATCCGAAGAGCCGAAGCGATTTTGGTGGAATCATCGTGAGAGTTTCGCGTTTCTCGTTTTCCAAAGATGTGTCAGAACTGCAAAACTTTGGAGCATCACGCTCCGTTAGTTTCTGAAGTGTAACAGTTCTCGCAATCTTGTGGAGTTCGGCCCGCAGTTTGAGAATGGCCCTTTCCGGGCGAAGCAGCTTGAGCAACCTGCTGTCAGGTATTGTTCTAATGCTTTTGCAGTCTACGACCTAGTGTTTCTGGGTCGTGAGGCGTTCATTTCTTGGAAAGCAACCTGCTGTCAGGTATTGTTCCAATTTATGGCAGAAAGACGACGTGGGTAATTCTACTGGTCTTCTACGAAGAGTGTCGAACCAGTTTTTGTTCTGAAAGGCAATGCGGCCAGTGAACAGATTCCACATGTCGAGTCAGACAATCTGTGTTTTATAACAGGGCTTACAATCGCTATGGAGTTTTGGCTGTCATCACCTGTGAAGTGCAATGTGTCGCGGGCTGCGCACGCAGTGGCGTAGCACACCTGCATCCAGCCAAGGACAAATCTTGGGACCATGGTGACACCGACAAGGACACAGCCGGCTCGGACTTTGCCCGGAAGGGAAACCTCAATGTGCTCAAACATCATATTTCAAGGAACTGTCTCAGACATCGCTTTCAAGAATTCCACAATGGGTGCTGCAGCACAGATTGTTAATTTTCAGAAAGATGATGTGGCAAGCCTGAACCCCTCTCTCATTTATGTTCGATCTTTCGAGTTTTCAGTTATTAGTCATTAGTGGCCTGCAGCACTCCTTGCCTGTTCTATTTCAATCTCTGTGAAGTTTCACAAAGCTCTCGCTATATGTAGGTGGCTCAAATTGTCAGTGCGGAGCTCGTCACTCACCCACCCACCCTCTTTTTTCGTCCGGGCTCGCCGGCTGAGTGAGGGCCCTGTGCCTTCTTCACGCCGTTCGGCAAAAAGAAAGCCAAATGTGCATATACCCAAAGATGCACGCAGGGCGACTTGCCTGTTTCTTTTGAGTTTGTTGTCGGCCCTTCCCAAGCACCCTCGAGCTTTCCAGAACGCGGACGGTGAGCTTTCTCGTTGTACAGTGGATAGAGTAAGCATGCGCGAGACTCGTCGTATGCTCTGCGCCTTTGCGATTGCTATGCTGCTAAGCATAAACCGAATCCAAAATTCCATCAAAAGCCAGGTTTGGGATTCTTGGCTGCGTGTTTTGCTACCGAGATCCACCTCAGACTGATTTGGTCAGAGGGCGTCTGCATCTCTTTTAGTTATACCTGTGTTTTGGTGTACCGTGTTTCACGTTTTCTGAGCCAAGTTTGCAGGAGAGCGGGCTGGATGATGCGCTACGGAAGGCCTCAAGCACGCATACCCGGATGTGCAGAAGCTGCACGCACGGCAGCAGACGAAGCATAAACGGTGCATCTGTGATACGCTGTCAGTCATGTTTCGTACAGTTGCAAGTGGCAAGATTGCGTTGGGCTCTTGGAAGTGCAGGCCTTGGGCTTTGGAGAGAACATTCCCATGCAGGTCGGCCGCTGCATGGGGGTTTCGCCGTTGTTTTTGTGTTGGTTTGTTGCTACGCAGGCCCACCCCTACATCGCCGATGTCCTTAGCGGCGGAGGGAAGGAGATCCCGATCGAGGGCGGCGCCAGCATCTTCGTCTCGAGGGATGAGGAGCTTGCATGCAAGATTGGAGGACGAGTGGTCGATCCCAGCACGGTGTGTATGCTACCAGCCGATCAAGTTTCGGTCAGCAACACCTGGGAATTCTGGCCGCATGCAAAGCCTTTCAAGACCCCTGTGCTCCTGCTAGTCAAAACCTATGCGTCGGCTACAAAGTTTTGGCGGTGGCACGGTGACATGTGGGAGGAGGCAGAGGTCCTGGCAAGAGGCGAGGGATGGCTCCTCGTGCGAATGGACCACTTCTGCCTTGCAACGGCCAGTGCTCAACCCTGGCTTTCCTTTGCCATGTTGTTGGAAAAAGCCCCGGATTTCCCAGGCTATGTCGTTACAGAGGCGCACCTTGCTCTCGGTGTGCCTAACCGCAGAGATGACAACAAACAACTGCTGTCAAATCAGCTCCCTCATGCCCGCAACGAGGATATCAGAGTGATTTCCTGCGGTATCAAAGCACTTGCTCGGGAGGACTTTGGCAAGACGTTCAGGGTAACAGTGGCCGACGACACACGCGCGGAAGCAGTATTTGACGATGATGTAGAGCTACCGCACTTGGAGGCAGCATTGGAGTCGGAGAGAGTCGCGGCAGGAACTGCGGCAAACATGGAGAAAGCCGGGCGCCTGCTTCCAGTAGAAGTTTTCAACGACGCGAGCTATGTCGGCATTCGGGTTAATGTCCGAGTCCATTGCGAGACGGCGGTGGCTGACGAGTGGTTGAATTTGCAGACATGCTGGCGTAGCCCAGTGCCAGTTTGCTCAGAGCCCGGATGCAGGCATCCTTGTGCTCCCTTCCGACATGCTGTTGTGTCCTTCCAGGCAACGAAAAGAAGCGATGGAACGGGGAAACGCAACCGATTCGACGTCGGCAAGTACGGGAGCTTTCACGAGTTCATGACACGGGTCATGGGGTGTCACCAGCTTCTCTTCCCCTTACCAAACAAGCAATGGTCTGTCTGTCTCAACTTGTGTCCTGGCTCAGACGACTACACAGTCATCGTCTTTGCGGCTGTTATCCCAAACCTTGTCGCTGTGGACGAACTTATGGAGGCGATAAGGAATCTCTTCATTCACGGGATCGACGCAGCGTGCCGGTACCAAGTCGAAGATTACAAAAACTACAAGACGATTTCGCACCAGCTACAGCCAAAGTTTTTGGGGTTCATGGACGTCATGGATCAGGCTCGGGGCTTGATGTCGAAGTGTGTTGAGAGGTTGTCATTAGGTTGAGCGTTCCGGAGTCTCGACAAGCCAATTGTGATCCAACCAGGCCACTTGCTGATCCACAAGCCTGCCTAGATTCTCCAACCAACGACAACACCCAGACGATAACACTCAAGCGACAACATTCACTGCTGCTGCTGAGAGGCAGATCTCGCACGGCCTTGTCCTCAGGGTCTGACTGGAAGTCATGCTGTGATGCCATTTGGTTCGGAAATGGGTTTCAGGTTGGTAGATCTCTCACGGTCGTGATGCTTCGATCGAGCTACTGTCGAGGCTCCGTCCTCTCGTCATGCAGCCACGGCCTCTGCTTTCGCACCGGGTGCGATGTGTGAGTTCGGATTTCAGCAGGAACGGTTTAAGCCTCATGCATTGTTATATGCCAATGAACCACTCGGGCAGTAGCCCGATGAGCATGCCGTTCTGCAGCTATGCTGATCTGCAGCTCCAAGAGAAAGATAGAGGCAAAGAAGGAAATAAGAGAAGAAAGAAAGAAAGAGCGAAGGAAAGACAGGCAGAAGGAAACACAGAAAGAAAGAACTAATGACAGACAGAAGGAAATACAACCAGAAAGCAAGCAAGAAAGGCAGAAAGACAGACATAAATAAGATAAGAAGAAACACTGAAAATAAGAAAATACGTAAGAAAGGAAGGAAGAAACACCGAAAGACGGAACACACAAAAAGGCCGAAAGCACAAACAAAGGAAGGAAAGAGCGAAAACAGCATACAAACAGAACGCTCCACGAACTGAAGAAATAAGGAAATGCCCGCGGCAGAACGATTGCTGAAGTCATTACGTATGAGATAGCTGACAGTGCTGTTTATGTAGACACGACCACATGGGACTGAGCCTCTTCGAGTGGATTCTAGAGCTGCTAAGATCTTCTGCAATCTGCTCTGTATCGAAGGGGCAATGATGAAGTTGCATGGTCCTTGCCTTCTGCCATGACGGGCTATCGGAGGAGTCAATTGGATTTCGATATTCTGTTCAGACACCTTGCTTAGAAGCAACTTAGTGGCAGCACATTTCGCGCCGCTGAGGTGCACCATGGCGCAACAGCAAGGGAGGTCGCTTTGCTGCAGTTTATGATCAGCGATTGGAGGCTGATGCTGATGATTGCTGAAGCCAGTTCATATGGTGTAGTCGGTGTAGTTGATAGTGCCACAGTGCTGTTGCATCTAGAGACGATGCGCATGGGCTTTTGCCTCTTCGAGTGGACATCAGCCGGTCCCCGTCTTCGTGTCAGATGCTAAGCTGCTAAGATCTTCCGCAATCTGCTCTGTAGGGGCAATGCTGAAGTTGCATGGTCCTTGATTTCTGCCATGACGGGTTCTCAGCGGAGGCAAGTGGATTTCGACATTCTGTTCAAACATCTTTACTATGCGACTGAGTGGCAGCGCATTTCGCGCCGCTGAGGTGCATGGAAGGACCGCAGCAGATGCAGCTGCATCAGGGTGGGTCTTCGAGTGGACATATCTCCGTGGTGTCAGCTGCTGAGACCTTCTGCAATCTGTTCAGATCTTCTCAAATCTGCTCTGTATCGAAGGGACAATGATGAAGTTGCATGGTGCTTGATTTCTGCCATGACGGTTCTCAGCGGAGGCAAGTGGATTTCGATATTCTGTTTAACATGTTTTCCATGCAACTGAGTGGCAGCGCATTTCGCGCCGCTTAGGTACATGGTGTCGCAGCAGCAGATGCAGCCGTATCAGCAAGGGGGGTGCTTTTCTGCAGTTTATGATCGGGGATTGGTAGGCTGATGCAGTCGCAACTGCAAGGACTTCAGACACTGGGTTTGTTACTGCCACTTCGGATGTTGGAAGGCAGAAGGGTATGGCATCAGGAGCAGGGAATTCGGAACCTTTGGTGCTTCCGGCTTTGGGGTGAGCCCTAGTCTCCAGTCTTCAAGGTTCGACAATCCCAAGACAGCAAGTCTACTTGCACCGCCTACCTCAGAATCTCAGCCTCTGTTTGAACTTCTTGTCACACGTCTCCGATGATATTGGCCCGTCGGGAGAAGAGCCACCAGAAGGTGGACAGGCAGACTGCGCAATTGGCAGCCCCTCGTTCTCAGCTGCAGTGCCCTGCGCATGCTTCTACGAGACTCGAAGCTTGCGTAGCATGCTACGAGCTCTCCAGAGCCTTGTGAGGCGGAAGGATCGCAAGAAGGTCCGATGCAGTACGTGTGTCTAGTATGATAAGTCGTGCGCGGCTTGCAGCTGAGGCCTGGAAGCCAGGACGCGGCCACGCCCGCAACGATGCGCCGGCCTGAAAGAGCAAACGGTGCAAGGGCAATGCTTTTAGGTTCGTGCCGGGCTTCCGGCTTTGGGGTGAGCCCTAGTCTCCAGTCTCCAAGGTTCGACAATCCCAAGACAGCAAGTCTTGTAATCCCCACTTCGGGAACAAGGTATGTTT